CAAGCCTGGCGTCGTGTGTTTGTGGCCTTTGTCGTGTATTTACGGTTATTGTCGTGTATTTACGTGTTTTTTTCTCTCTCCGGATTTTGTCGCGTATTTACGGTTATTGTCGCCTCCTGATGGGGGTAGAGCAAACTATTGTATTTGCTGGAGTGTTGATTGAATCCCCGTATCTACCCACCGGGCCGGGCCGAGATGAAATTGGAGATTTGATATTGAGAAAGGGGTGGGCGTCGCGGACACTTGTCACTGGCATTGTGGAGTTGTGCCGGTTGGCAGTGACAGATTTAGGAGGGGGCGGTACGGGAAATCAACGGGACCGGACCCGGTCTTCTATTCTCTTGGTCGCCATTCGATTCCTCTGCTGTGTGGGTTTTTTTTCTCTTCATCCTTTCTCCTTGATATCTCAGGGATGTTGCAATCCACGTTAGACAACTCCCACGTATTGCTGAACCGCCGGGGTTTGCTCCCCTTGTCAGCCGTATATTATACATGGAGGATTGGTCCCGGCTTGATGAATTATGTTGGACAATTTTCTACAAGGTCGGAGGGTAGGCCCTCGATGTTCTTCATTCTTCCATCTGTTTTGTAGGGGGGTTGGGAGGAGATGTAGGGGAGGGGGGTGAATGGAGAAGCAGTACCTAAGCCGTCAGGTTGAATGGCACTACACATAAAACAAGATGGCATGAGATCACTTGACCGTTATTAAAGATGACTGTTTCTTTCTGTGGGTGCCACACTCGGTGTGTGAGGGAGGGGAACAGCGTGTGGTTATCGTCTGCGATTGTGCCGGTGAACTGACGGTCTTCTGCTTGCTATTGAACGGCGTTATTTGAAGTGGTGTGTGTTTAATTTAGTCAGTCCATTAAGGCTACTAAAAGGCTTGTCCGCAGTTAACTGAAGTCGGATACTACAACTTGGACTACAGTTGACTCTGGAGTCTAATGCTAAAAAATGTTTCTCTAGTTGACTGAAGTCAGATTCTAAAACGTGGCCTACAGTTGACTCTGAAGTCTAATGCTAAAAAATGTTTCTCTAGTTGACTGAAGTCAGATTCTAAAACTTGGCCTGCAGTTGACTCTGAAGTCTAATGCTAAAAAATGTTTCTCTAGTTGACTGAAGTCAGATTCTAAAACTTGGCCTACAGTTGACTCTGAAGTCTAATGCTAAAAAATGTTTCTCTAGTTGACTGAAGTCAGATTCTAAAACTTGGCCTGCAGTTGACTCTGAAGTCTAATGCTAAAAAATGTATCTCTAGTTGACTGAAGTCAGATTATAAAACTTGGCCTGCAGTTGACTCTGAAGTCAGATTATAAAACGTGACCCTTTTAATTGACTGAAATCAGATTCTAAAAACCTGACTCTCTCGTTGACTAAATCTAAATCTATAATGGGCCACGTTCGCACATCTCTCTCTCTCTCTCTCTCTCTCTCTCTCTCTCTCTCTGTCCGCAAAAAATTTTCGCCGGACATCACGTCAGAATCGGCAGCGATATATGAAGAACTTTTTACGGACTTTTGTTGAAAATAATATGTTAGATGTTTTAAATGTATAACTACAATTTTATTTAAAGAAGAAAAATAAAAAATAAAGGCGTATTCGAATGTAGAGAAACAGTATTATTTATGCAACCGGAAAAGCATTTATATATGTGAAAAAGAACGCATAAAACTTTGACGTCACTATTTATACATTAACTAATGACGTCATCTGCCGTGTTTACAATATAAAAGAAATGAACTATTTCATTCAAATTTGATTTAGATCTACGTACACTATGAAATGTATACAATACAATTTTTCCGGCCTAAACTCATAAAATTTATTTATACAAAATCTTTGTTTGGAACTGGCTAATTTGGGATAAAAAAATTAATTTGAAAGAATAGGCATATTCGCGTAAGTTAAGATTTTAAAATACGTCTTTCATTCTCTGTATTTTATAAGGTGCCTAAATAGGGGAGATGTTAGTGTACTATAAACCACGCAGGTGGTGCGGGTTCGAGACACACCAAGTCAACTTGGTTAATGTACTTTTTTTTATTTTGCTCGGGCTAAACTTAAAAAAAAAATTCTATTAGGATTCTAGATCTAGATCTAGATTGTCGGGTGTCCGATAAGGCACTTCCCGGCGCCGCAGGCGCTTCAAATTTGGCAGGATCTTGCCTTGGGGCGACAGAACACGGGGGCCGGTTGGCCGAAAAGTCTACGATGAGGGGGTCAAAACTGACCTCGACTGACCGGCGCCTTATATGGGCGAATTAATTAAGCATTCAAATTCTCAACGTTTCGAAAGCCTAAGCGAAGCTGGGCAGCATGCCTAGTCAGTTTATAAAACCTGACTGTCTAGTTCGGAAGTCGCAAGCTAAAACTTGGTCCTCTAGTTGACTGTGAAGTCAGATGCTTTAATTATCCCTCTGGTTGACTTAAGTCAGATTATAAAACGTGACCTTCTGGTTGACTGTGAAGTATAATGCTAATAACGTGGTACACTAGTTGACTGTGACTTCATAGATAACTGTGACAATAAGTAGCCCAAGCACCATTGGCATCACCATAGCTCCTTGAGTTGTTCGTGAGTTGTGAGTGCACGTCTGCTTGTGAAGCACCAAGATCTGGTATGGAGGAAAGGGGGTGGAGGGTGAAGCCCGTACCCTTAGACACTGTAAACAAATATAATCTTTCATTCTGTTAGTCTTAATTAGTGACTGCTTTAATAGTTTGTTTTGTTAAATGACATATTGAAGAAGAAAAAAAACTAGTTGACCTATAACGGGACAACCCATGGTCTACGACAAATCTATCCATATGTCAACACTAATTTTGTCAAATTCTGAATACAAATCGTTTTTTCAATACAACTTTGTGTTCCAGCTTTGAAGAAAAAAAAATGTCGAGATTGCCCGATGTGATAATACTAACAATCTAAATACCCGAGCAAGGCATTGTGGTCGGTCTGACATTGAAGAAAATTCTCGAGACCGACACAGTATTGCCGGGAGCCCCCGCGGCGCTTGAGCCGAGCAGGTTATGAGCCAGCATTCACGGATATAAATAACTGAAGTTTATTATTTTTATCTCAGCGCATTGCATTGTAACGTAATATGTAAGCAGAGACTCCTGGTGTGCCGGGTACCCGGGTTTAGCCGGGCTATTCAATAGGCCTTGTGTTAAGCTGCCGTCGCCTTGCCGTAAGACTGCGAGCTTTTCCCCCTTTAGGTCTGACAGCTCCAGTCTCAGACAATCGACACCAAATTGTTGACGTGTTTTAGCCGAACACGGTCTACGGTTTCTCTAATCCTCCCCCTCCACGGGCCCTGGGTCGGGACTGTAAGCCTCGACTGTCATGGGACGCTGGCTCGCCGAGGCCTGGGTGGCGAGTTGCGTTATGTCTTGCAGATCTGTCACCTTCCAGCCCTTTCAGGTGGGGTCCACTTTAATCCGGTAATGGCGCGGGGGGCCGGGGCACACCGCCTTCTGCTACAATGAATATTTAACTGCGAGATTCGCCCGAGAGCCGGCGAGAAGACCGGCACGTTTGTCGGCCATCTGCCGCATGTATGTAGTACGTAGGGCTGGCAGCGAGCTGTTCCCTGCATGGGTGCTGCTGGTGTAGAACGTGATGAGTTGACACCCACCTCAATGTACGTTCATGGGCCGCATTGTTGGCACTCACGTGAATGTACGTGCATGAGCCGCATTGTTGGCGCTCACGTGAATGTACGTGCATGAGCCGCATTGTTGGCGCTCACGTGAATATACGTGCATGAATCGTGTGCGGCGTAAGATCAACCTTCTGCTCACCCTGGCGATTTTTTAGATGTAACACGAGCCAACAGAAGAGAAGAACGAGCAGATAATGAGCTTTAAACGTGTCAGGAGTGAGCTGCATTTTTTTTCTATTGCTGTAATTAGCAAACAGGTTACGTGTGAAATGAGTTTTTTCCCCTCAATTAGCGGGTGTCACTGCTGTCTTAAGTTAATCGTATAATGGGAGGTGCCAGGCTCGTGCACATGACGGTTGTGTTAACCTAATATTAGAAATCATTATGCAGTTCTTTAAAAACACCTAATATTAGAAATCATTATGCAGTCCTTTAAAAACACCTAATATTAGAAATCATTATGCAGTCCTTTAAAAACACCTAATATTAGAAATCATTTTGCAGTACTTTAAAAATAATTAAAGTGAACACCTAAAATATTAGCTGCATTCATTAAGTCATTTAATGGCAATTTTTTTTTACTTCTAAGAAAAATTGTTTTATTGTTGTTTTAGTTATATATTACTTAACTGTGGACTTCTGTGTGTGTGTGTGTGTGGGGGGGGGGGGTATGAATGTGTTGTCTAAAGTAGTAAAGGTTTTGTATTCTTGTTGCCCTTAAAGAAGTCAAATTGAAGTTTTTCAATACATTTTCCTCAATTTGTATAGCATTTATTTATTTTCTCAAACCTTTGTTTAGTTCCTTCATTAGGTTACTTACACATTATCACATAATTTTCAACCAGTCAAATCATTAACCTACCTAGCCACCAATCAACTCATTAACCTACCTAGCTACCAATCAACTCATTAACCTACCTAGCCACCAATCAACTCATTAACCTACCTAGCCACCAATCAATTGATTAACCTACCTAGCCACCTGATTAGCCTAGCTAGCCACCAATCAACTGATTAACCTACCTAGCCTCCAATCAACTCATTAACCTACCTAGCCACCAATCAATTGATTAACCTACCTAGCCACCAATCAACTCATTAACCTACCTAGCCACCTGTCAACTCATTAACCTACCTAGCCACCAATCAACTCATTAACCTACCTAGCCACCAATCAACTCATTAACCTACCTAGCCACCAGATTAACCTACCTAGCCACCAGTGAACTCATTAACCTACCTAGCCACCAATCAACTGATTAACCTACCTAGCCACCAGTCAACTGATTAACCTACCCAGTCACCAGTTACCATGAACTTTTTCTCTCCCCCAGGCTGATGCACTGTGTAAGGAATGTTTCTTTTGGGCCTTTGAGGAGGAAATCCACCACACCATCCAACATGCAAACCTGTTCTCTCCAGGTGATACAGTGGCCATTGGTGCCTCAGGTGGGAAAGGTGAGTGGAAGACATCTTTGTGTGACACATGTTGGTGACACATCTTTTAGCATTTGTGACAAATCTTACAGTTTTTGTTACAGACCTTAATAGTGTTTGTGACAGATGTTTGTGACAGACTTTATAGTGTTTGTGACAGGTTTGTGTGTATTTGACAGACCTTTTAGATTTGTGACAGATCATATAGCATTTGTGACAGATGTTTGTGTAAGACCTTATTGTTGTTGACAGACCTTATTGTGTTTGTGACAGATTTATTTTAGTGTTAATGACAGACCTTATAGTTTTTGTTAAAGATCTTATAGAGTTGTGAATCAGATCTTATTGTTTATCGCACATCTTGTGAACACTAAACACTTATTTAAACACCTACATTGATCCAGTAACTAAAAGCATTTGACATTCCCAGACTCTACAGTACTGGCACACACCATGAAAATCTTGAATGAACGTCACAAGTATGGCCTGAATCTGATACTGCTCTCTGTGGACGAAGGCATCACTGGGTACAGGGATGATTCTCTAGAGGTGATAGTATAAAAATGTAAAAATAAAATATCCTATACCATCACTACTATAACATTTTACCAATCACAATTGGCGTTCTTTCTAATCCGGTTAACTTTTTCTTGTGTTGATAGACTGTGAAGAGGAACCAGCAACAGTATGACCTGCCATTGACCATTGTTTCCTATGAGGTAAGTTTTTCTCTGTGCCTCTAACTATAAAGCAGTTGAGTACACGCGGGGGGGGGGGGGGGGGGTCCGAAAAAAAACTGTCTTTTGTGGACGAATATGGACTTGTATAAGGAAAAAAGGTGGATTTTTGTGGACAGGGGGGGGGGGGGGGGTCCAAAATCCAAAAAAATTGTGGACGTCATAAATGGATGACCCCTAAAGGCTGAAGTGCCAGAGTAGAGTAACTCCTCCCCTGCTGTAGTGGCAGCATATTGGGACTACAGACTGCCTAAAGAAAATTAAATGTTTTAATACACTTTAAAGATACTTAAATTTAAATGTTTATTTCATTAACAGCCTTTTAAAAAAAATATTAATGTTTCTAGCATTATTAACTTATAACATAAGTTAAACTAGTTTGTATCAAATAAAGTTCAGCAGTGTTATTTTAAACATTTCTAAAAAAATTTTCTGTATAATTGAAAGAAAAATAACTCATTTTATTTTTATTCCTGATTATTCACCCTGATGGAATGTCTAAACATGAGCTATGTTTTATAATTTATTTCACCTAACAATGCCACTAAACTTATGACAGGAACTTTATGGATGGACCATGGATGCAATAGTTCAACAGATTGGCCTAAAAAATAACTGTAAGCATTTTATTTTTTTCTAAAACCAGCATGAAGTCTATCCTATCAGAATAATAATGGTGTGGCATTCAAGCTAATAGTTTTAAAATAAATTAAATTACTAATTTTTTAAAATTGTTGTAATGTTCATCAGGTACATTCTGTGGGGTATTCAGGAGACAGGCTTTGGACAGGGGAGCAATGAAGCTTGGGGCCACTAAAATTGTTACAGGTAATTGATATAGCTTACATCATACACTAATTTTATTATATAATGTCCATCATACATTTATTATATTCATTACAGGTAATTAATATAAATTCCATCATACATTTATTATATTCATTAAGGTAATTAATATAACTTCCATCATACATTTATTATATTCATTAAGGTAATTAATATATCTTCCATCATACATTTATTATATTCATTAAGGTAATTAATATAACTTCCATCATACATTTATTATATTCATTATAGGTAATTAATATAACTTCCATCATACATTTATTATATTCATTACAGGTAATTAATATTTTATAACTTCCATCATACATTTATTGTATTCATCATTCTCAGCAGTTTTACATTTCAATGATAAGAATTAAGCTTTGTCAAACAAGTCAAATAACTTCAGTCATAATTTGTCTTATACATTGTTGTTGATCTAGGGCACAATGCTGATGACATAGCAGAAACAGTCATAATGAATGGTAAGTAAAGTTGTACTATGCAAATGTTTTATTTTAAATTGTATTCAATTAATGATAAAAAAAGATATATACAGTAGGAGTCTCTCTGAATAAATATCTGATTTACTTATAAGAAATTCACCATAACAGTTTGCTTACAGATTGAAGGCTCTGTTTTACCCATAAAATATCTACAAATATTTCAAATAGACTAGAAAAATCTATTTCAAAGAAAATGAAAGTTACATGTTTAAAAAAGTACATTGTAACTGGATTGTATATTACTAACAAAGTAATGAACCATTTTACCTTTCAGTCCTGCGTGGAGACATAGCTAGGCTGCGTAGGTGTACAGCCATTACGACAGTAAGTTTTGTTTGCCTCAGGTTTTTCTTATATAGTCATAACTTGATGATTGCTCATGAGCTAAGCAGACCCTCTGCAAGGTGTGTTGGGCAAACATATTTTGCCCTTAGTGAGAAGTGACTAGTGCGTTTTCTGTCATATTTTGCTATGTCACATTCTCTGTCATATTTTTCTATGTCACATTCTCTTTTTCATATTTTCTGCCCAGGGCACTGATGGTTATCTACCAAGATGCAAGCCTTTTAAATATACTTATGAAAAAGAAATTGTAATGTGAGTATTGAAATATCTATCACCTTTCATTTTTAAATTAAATTTATTTTATTAAGTCTAGCTTTTTAAATTACTCTTCATTTGCTACTAACAGATTCTATTGCATGCAGGGAACTTTTAAAAAAAAATATATATTTTAAAGCAAAGATGTATTTTGTTTTAAATACTTTCTTTAAACAAAATTCTGAATGAAATAGAAAGAATTTCTAAAATCTGTTGTATTTCTTTCTTGCTGTACAGGTATGCTTACTTCAAGAAGCTTGACTACTTCTCAACAGAGTGTATCTACTCACCAAATGCCTACAGGTCAGTTACATAACACACATTTCTTGCTAGAAATTGGTGCTGATTTTAGTTTTCTATCCAGTAATAAAATTGTCACTGATGTATATTAGTCACAAATATTAGGTCAGTTTAAGATACATTCTGTTTGGGCAGGAGCTTGTATGTTTGCTAACTCCAAAAATCTAGCGTTACAACACTGGGTAGATAAGGCTCATTAGCTGGGGACCATAAACCATCTACGACAGAAAACTCCAAAATCAAAACAGTAGCTGCCTTGCAGATTGTTCTTGGGTGGGCAAAGATAATGTTAAAAATAGAACATAAATATTTGAAGTCATTTTGTAACATCATGTAACAATATTTTCCAGTTACATCTCTTCACTCTTGATACAATTAACAAGCCAAATTTATCCATTAAATGCTAGAACTTAAAATGTTTCATTTCTCTTTTAAAGGGGATTTGCACGAGCGTACATAAAAGACCTTGAAAAAATTAGACCAAGTTCAATTATTGGTATGTATAAGGCAAATAAAAGTTACCCGCTTATACATTTTCTTTTTTCCCATGCATCATTATATTCTCCAGATATTATGTATTTTCATTGTTATATTCCCTTGATACTATTTATTTTCATCATTACATTACTTGGTATTATTCACTTTAATTATTATATTCCCCAGATATTGTTCTCATACATTGTTACATTCCCCAGATATTATTCACAGTGGAGAAAGTTTGTGTGTGAAAAAAGAAGTGCGGATGCCAGTTCAAAGTAAGTTTGATACAAGTTGTTTGAGCATGTTTACAACAGGTTTAAATGCTGAATAGGCTAGGTGTTAACTAAGACAGCATAGGTCACCAAACCATGCAGAGATATGGTGATACTGGTCAGTACAGGTTATGTGTGTATGCTATGGTTTGTTTAGGTTCCACATTCAAATCTTGGTAGATCATGTTGTCTAATAGAATATGGTCACCTTAGACAGCAATAAAACAGATTGTGTGATCACATTTACACTGGGATCAACAATATGCCTTTAACAGGATCAACACTATGCCTCTACCTTTCTAGTGTGATCTGCCCTACAGCTTTTATGCTGCTGTAATCAACACTATTCCTTCTACTGGATCAATACAACACTATGCCTTTTATGGGATCAACACTATGACTTCAACGGGATCAACATTATGCCTTCAACAGGATCAACACTATGCCTTTAACAGGATCAACACTATGCCTTCTATGGTATCAACACTGTGCTTCTACCTTTCTAGTGTGATCTGCCTTACAGCTTTTATGATGCAATCAACACTGTTCCTTCAATACTACACTATGGATCAACACTACACCATGCCTTCAACATGATCAACACTATGTCTTTTACCTTTCTAGTGTGATCTGCCCTGTCACCACTACTTCCCCTGACTTACATCCCTCAATCTCCAGCCAATAAGTGAACTTGAATTTCTTTGATTAGCTGTTGTGTGCTCTACCACTTGACCATACAACTCTTGATACTCCAGTATAAATTTAATTCCCAACACCATTACCAACGATGAAATGTGTTGTACATTAGGTACAAACCAAAGTCTAGATAAAGATGAACTCTACCAATATTAATGGTGATTGATCTGCTATGTCTTAGTGGCATGTGAGGCTAACTACAGCTAATGGTATAATTATGGAATTTTCATAGTTCATCTGATGGCTAATTAAGTTAATTGCACTACTATATTGTTGAAGCCAGACAGGCATTTGTCACGTCTAAAAAAACACAATCTACATTTAAAAAAAAAATTTTTTTTTAGCTATTTGCAAGAGGTGCAACTTCATCTCCAGTAATGAAGTGTGTAAAGCCTGTGTCATGTTGGAAGGTCTGAACAAGGGAAGACCCAGGTAAGGCTCCAGTGCTTAAAGTTACCAGGTTTTCTTACTTTGTTTTTATTTCCTAGGTAGCGCTATTATTCTTTTGTTTTAGTTAACCAAATACAATGTTTGTTTCTGCAGGCTTGGTATAGGAAAAATACATAAAGAAAGGAGGAAGGTGAGATAGGTGTTATTAGACCTTGTCTTGGTTGATGAAGATTTATTTGTCTATTGGATAGAATTAGTTTGTGTACTGTATGATCCATGTTACCAATTGGTCCTTATTTGTCCATACGTGTCCTTGTATACTCCACTGGTCAAGTTTGTCCATTGCCTGATCCTCTGAACAATGTCCCAAAACAACTTGTGTACAATTGAATAGTTTTTCTGTTTACAGTGGGAAGAGGAGCTAGAACAGCAGGCAAAGAGTTTATCACTACAAAATTCAGGCACTGATTGTACTATCAGTTCATCCAGCAAGACTAGATGTTGTACCAGTTCATCCAGCAAGACCAGGTGTTGTACTAGTTCATCCAGCAAGACTAGATGTTGTACCAGTTCATCCAGCAACCAAAGATGCTGTTCAGCACAAGATGGCTCCTGTCAGAGGGGTCAGCAGACAGACCTTGGCAGCAGACAATCAGACAAAGATAGCCTCCCATCCTCCAATGATCAAATGACAAGTATAAACTTGTGACAATAGGTTTTGGTGCCATTGCTTAGCCTAACATTAAAATAAGAATCATGTAGTAATATTGTTTCTTGAATTTATAATGTATTTACTTCAATGAGTATAGGTGTTATGACTGAAGATCAACAGTTTTTTTTTCTGATGGTAAAAATGAGCTGGCCTAAGGGGATGGTGGTTGCGAAAATGTTTTTAATGAATGAAAGATTTGTTTTAGTGTATGTGATTTGATTATGAACAGTTTATAGGCCTATATATATTTTAATATGAAAGGTCACTAAAAAGTGCCATAATAATTTTCAGTTTAAATTATTAATTTAAGGTTTCAAAATTATTGAAATTATATTTCTAAATTATGCTCAATGTTACCAAATAATGTAATAAAAATTGGTACTTCTGTGAAGTCAGCATGTAGTGAAATTTTTCTCTTTAAAATTAACCCTCGTTGTAGCTCTAACCATAATCTTGGCTCTAATGACTACAGAGCATTGTGTTCATGCCAACAAAACTTTATTCTAAAATTATATTAATCAAAGACATTTTTTATTTGCTTATATTTATATTTGATTTAGACAGTTACTGAATGACTGATCACTGATTTGAAAAGGGTGGGGTTTCAGTGTCACTAAATGTCTGAATACTGAAGGGGTCAAGTGGGTAAAGCTCATGGTTGGTAAACCAAACAGTTGAACCGTCGGGCAGATGAGGCTCGTTAGCTGGGGACAGTCACTCTTCTAGGAGAGACAACTCCAAAATCAAACAACTGCTGCCTTGTAGTTTGTTCTTGGTTGGACAAAGGCTATGGAAGCAAATCGAAAAAGAAAAGCAGGCTGAAATCGGAGTCAAATGCCTCAATGGTGCATAACCAGTTGACACGTATCTTTAATTGTGATGGAGGTGTGGTCGAGTCTGCGAAAGCTTATGGTTGAAAAATTCGAAAAAGTCTCAACTTCAAACCCTCTGACAGATAAAGCTTGATCCCTTCCAACACTTAAAATTAAGAAGTCTGAATACTGATTTTCTTTTTGGTGGTGGTGGGTTTTGATGTCATTACATGACAGCTTCACCAATGCCATTGTTCAGCTATGCCCCTGTGTGTCAGCCAAAATAAAAATAAACATTTCCAGGGTTTCATTAATTTTTTATTTGCAAAAGGATAAATGAAATGTACCAGAAGTTTTACCAAATTATTACTGAATGTAATTACACTTGGTCCATTAGCCTTCCATGTATGAAATAATATTAGTATCAGGCTAATTTTTACTTAAGCAAGACTTAAGTAATGTTAAAAACTTGGCTTTATTATTTTTTTTAATTTACCTTGAAAAAAACTTCAAACTAATAAAATAATTTGAAGACCATTTGCAAGTGTCCATTAAAAGGACAGATTGTTTAAGAAAATGAAGCTGCCAAAATGTGGTCTAGTGCAAACTTACTTTGGTTTTTTCATTTAAATATTTACAAGGAAACTGGTATGAAACAAAAAAAATTTCAATGCAATAATCTCCGAGGAGAAAAAACCTCTAACAATTTACCATTTTCTTTCAAATTTATTGGCATGTATTTGATGATGTCTGTCAATACGAGATCACAAAAACTTGACACTGCATTATCTGTGTTAATAGAACCCAAAAGACTTGAATGTAGGACGTCCTTGAGTCCATCCACCTCTAATGGGTACCTGACTCGTTAGGGAAATAAAGGCGGCTAGGTGTAGTGCTGAACACACTATTTCTTCATATGCTAAGCTTAATTCTACATCATCTAAACTTTGTGTCTTGGGCATGAACTTTAAAAAAATGTTATATTTGTGTTCAAATTAATTTTATAAAGCTTAACCATAACTTAATAGAAATGTCAAATGCATCAATGTCAAGATGTTTGTTGTAAGATTTTAAATGTTGAACATGAGTTACACAGGCAAAAAAGCTAACATGTTTTTACATGTCCAATAAAAAATACATTAAAGAAAGTATTTTCTTAAAACAAAGCTACATCAAAACAATTTTAAAATAAAGCAGAGAAATCAGTAAAATTAAACTATATCTATTCCTTTAAAAAAAACATCCCTTTTCAATGTGATGTTTAAGTAGATGGAAAGTAGATAATATTTTAAAATTGTACTCTAACTAAAAAAATACTTATGAAATTGACATACAACATACATAAGTAAAATTAAAATACAAATAATTCATGGTTTATGTCACTGAATCAGTTAAGTAAGCATCAAAGACTGAATCTGATACACACCATAGAGTGGAACCAAGAGAAGACAACCATGAATCTACCACAGCTCCTGAAAACCAGCAGGAACATTAACCATGGTAAAAGAATGGCCAAGGGCAATTAACAGGTGTATACAATTTATATAAATAGAGTTTGTATGAAAATACATTTGAAAATCATGGAATGCTTTTTTTCATTGGCATAGCAGATAAACAAGGCTGATACATTGATGTTAGTTAAATCTTTTTGGTACCCATTCTAAGTTTACTGCATTTAAACATCTGATTTTATCTTTTATGCATTAGTCAGTTAAAAGTAAAGATACATTTTGTAGGTTATTTCCCTTGCGAAAGTACAATGCTAAAAATCTGCATTCCATACTCATACAGATTATAAATGACAGTCTTCTAAATAATTAAATTTTCTGATTGCAAATATTGGGAATGTTATACAGTTCTTAACAGTGTAACGAAAAATTTTAAGTTGCAAATTCAAGCAACTCTCAAGTAATTTCTTTTTGTTTACAGTTGACTTGGAAAGACACAAAGCATTGATATGAGATTCTCTTAATTTAACCTAATTAGGGTTAACATGAGAATCAAAGTAACAAAAGTACCAGTTTAAAACTGATAGTTAATGAAATATTATATATATGATCAAATATTTATATTATTATCATTTTTTAATAGAGAAACACACATTCAAAGAACTGGGACTGTTGAAAAGATTCACAATAGTCGTTCCCAATACATTAGCTAAGTTTCTAAAACCACAACAAGGCACTTCAACAGCTCCAGTGGGACTAATCTATAAGTTGTGGCTTGAAGCATTTTCACTAACATATTGCCGAGTTTGATTTTAATTCAATTAATACTGCCAGTTATAATTGCCAAACTTTCTTAACCAAATTAGATAAAGTTTAAAGTGTGCAATACAATTTTATTACAAAAATAATTAAATATTGAGGGTAGATTTTTCTAGTTTCACTATGTACATTTAAAAACTTAAATAAAAGGATATCATAAATTGAATGTACACAAATTTTCAAAGTTGGCCTTTTGTATATCTTTAAAGTTTCTTCTGGTTAAAGAATTCATTTACAATACACAACATCTACAATTTAATTTCAATATTAGGACATTTTATTACAACACACGACCTTTTTTTTACAACAGGACATTAATGTTACTAAATATTTTTTTACAACCGCAAGCAAAAAAAACTTTCATAAAAATATAGAGGGTTTAAGGATTTAATACATTGAGGGTAACTTTGGTGAGAGTCTATTTAATAAAGCTGAGAGTTCATCAATAACATTGTGAACACAATAGTGTTAACTTTCTTAATTGTGGTTTTAAATACTACGATATCCAGCAGGGGGGGTAACATCAAGATTTATCTCCCTGCTCGGATCAGCATTAGTAAACTATTAGAGCATGAGTCAAAGCCAGAGTAAGAGCAATGATAACAAAAAAGTTCACTTCAAAACAGACCAGATGAACATTAAAAGAAGTAGACAGTATAAGCACAATAAATAAAAAAATTGTACCAATAGCTTGACACAATATTTTCCTCAATAAATGTATTCATTTAATATAAACATTTTATTAATAACCCTGTTACAGTCTGATACAATATTTTTGCCTGCAGCTATTTGGCAGTTGAATATGTCAGTACCAAAAGCGTAGTACAATGTCATATTGTGCGTTAAGTCACATCAGTAGCCTTAGCAGTAAGTAGGCTTTTTGAGGCTTGTCTCTCACTTGTCTAAGATATTGGCTTGTATGTGTTGTATTTGTCTAAGATATTGGCTTGTATGTGTTGTATTTGTCTAAGATATTGGCTTGTATGTGTTGTATTTGTCTAAGATATTGGCTTGTATGTGTTGTATTTGTCTAAGATATTGGCTTGTATGTGCTGTATTTGTCTAAGATATAGACTTGTATGTGTTGTATTTGTCTAAAATAATGGCTTGTATGTGTTGTATTTGTCTTAGATATTGGCATGTATGTGTTGTATTTGTCTAAGATATTGGCTTGTATGTGTTGTATTTGTCTTACACATTGGCTTGTATGTGTTGCACATGTCTATTATATTCCAACATAAGGTATGGGCTCCATTGTGGTATATTTGTCTGAGTTATGGACTTTTATATCTTGTACTTGTCTAAGAAATAGGCTTGTATGTGTTGTACTTTAAATTTTACTTGTCATAGATATTGGCTCATATGTGTTGTGCTTGTTTAAGATATGGGCTAATTTTTTGTACCTTATGTTTTACTTGGCAAAAAATGGGCTGTTATATGTTGTACACCTAAGATATGGGCTCGTACGTGTTGTACTTTGAGTTCTCGTACTCCACCTCCTCAGGTATTATGTCCAGTGTTTCGTACGGCTGGCTCAGCAAACTCTCCTTGCCTGTGTTGGTGTACATGCTGTTGCCCAGGTCAGCCAGGATAGTTTTTGTACCAACTGGCGTTGTCACAACCCCGTGGTTGTCCTCTCCTGGGCTCTCAAGGGACACAATCAATGGCGTAGCAGCCAATGGGATTTCAATATTTGCTGAAACAAATTTTTTTAATCTAGAACTCCATCTTGTCTGTTTTTCTTTCCTGTTTAGTTTCTGATATATTTTTTAACAGTATTAAAATTTAAGTGAAAATTAAAACCTATTGAAAGTTGTTACTTAAGTCCAAAAATATTAAACTTAGTGTTTTTAATGGTTTTTATATAATTAAAATGTATTTAAAAACTCAAGAATGTAAAAATCGGAACTATTGTACCTCATGAGTTTTGTGTCAAATTTTAATTATTAAAAATTATTTTCATTGCATTCAAATTACGTGAATCAAAGTACTATCATACTTGGTGATTTCTGCGTGGATTTAGCGATTCTCTCAAGTTTTTTGTGACTTTTGACCCCAGCCAAGTCTGTGTTGACTTCCGTGTCCTGATAGGCCGTCTCATAGACTGCCTCATCATTTCTGTTGACATCAAAGTGGGCGGCCTCAGGCTGGTCGTAATCTTTCCTTGGTATGTGAACTTGCTTGGGTGAATTCAGTCTGCTCAAACTAAAGAATTAGAATTTTATAGTGTAAGTAAAGTTCTTAAGCTAACTGGACGAGCCAGGCAGATATTCCCAAAACAACATGCGATTCTACATTCTGGGGTCCACCATTTGGGTTGTGTCACCCGGTGCGTCCCGCCCCGACCTAATGATCCATTTGGCAGATATAGCAGAGTTCATATTTGTCTTGACCACGGCATATTAAGGGGTGGTGTGGTCAGCACTATGCCCATCCACTTTTACTTTGCCTAATGTGAGTCAGGTACCCATCAGAGCTGAGTGGACTCATGCACGTCTAACAGTTATGATTCCAGACCGGGATTCAAACCCAAGACTTTCAAGCTAGCAGGTACATTGCAGCGAAAATATTTTATTATTATTTCACTAAAATATAACTTTGAATTCAATCAACATTTCATGGTAAGTGCTTAATTAACTAGGACAAATTTGATGTAAGAGAAACATTAGAAATGGACAAGAAGTGGTAGAATTTGATTTATATATTTTATATCATCATCATCTTTTCCCTTTTGTGCCCAAGACATGTAGGGCATTTGAGGTAGAGTTTATTGGTTGTTGTGACCCTGGCATATAATGGGATAGTGTTATATTTATATACTAGATAATAATAACAAAATACTGTAAAAAACATGTAGACTAGCTAGTAAATCTCCACTATCTGCAGCTCTAAACACCATACAACTTTGATCTTTAACTACCCGAGACTTTGATAGGCCTGTTTTTAACTTAGTTACATCACAGAGTTAAAATGTTACTAAAGATTAGTTTTAGATTAGTAAATAGTACTATCCTTCACTAAAGAGATTCCACATGATTGAAAATTGTGTAACGAGCTAATAGGTCACCAGCACTACCCATTTGGCTACTGATACCAGTCAGTTGAGTCAGCACAGTAGTTTATACATTTTTAAACAATCAAGAATTCATTACAAGGAGCTAAGGAAAAAAAAATATACAGACTAATCTAAAAATTGCTTCTGCTGTCTACAATAAGAATACTAGTGATAAAGTTGTAATCAGTTCGAGGTAATACAAATATTATCAGATATAATATGATAAATGTGCAAATATTGGATCAAAGTTGCCAGATACTTACGGTCGTTTCATGAACCAGTATACAACAGCAGCACCAAGAAGAAAACCACCAATTAGGGCTGTCAAATTTAAAAATTCAATTTTTATATATGATTATGTGGTATTTTATTTAGGACAGAAACTACAACAACTTCAAATCGTTTCATTTAAATTTAACTCGTATTTCAAGATTTGTGTTTTGTAAAGTATAAAATAAAAAAGCTTGTGTAATGATATCAAATTATCTTGTTTGTTTTGAATTTGCATTTGTTTTAGAAGCTAAACTACTTTCATGTTATCATAAGGCAAATATAAGACCATTATGCTTGATATTTTGCAAGGAGATATCTGTATCACTGATAATACTATAAGACTATACCTAATTATTTTTATTCATGACTAGTTCGTCACTATTGGTGGAACCAGAAATTAAATTAAATTTAAAAAATCCTTTAAGATTCATAAAATGATAATTGATATTGATAAGTTAAATTGCATCCATTTACTTTAAATTTTTCTGCTTAGAAACTTTAGATTTTAGATGTTTGTCCTCAACTAATCATAAAATTATTTATCATTATTTTGTGGTGTTAACAACTGAGTCTAGATCCTATTATTTAAAATGTTACTATCATGAATTTTTAAAATATAGAATCTAGTCTAAATCTAGATTTATAACTAAAATCTAAAAAAAACAATCACTCAGTCTGTTACAGTTCCAATAGCTACACAAGTTAAACAGACAGTCTACTTGAAAAGTTTAGTTTTTTTAAAGTGACTTTCATCATTAATATTAAATTTTTCTTTTGGGTGTTTGGAATTTTTATTTTATTTTTGAAATAGATCTAAATCTAATTATTTCTGTGTTGCTTCATCTTTTCTTCTGATTAATTAAGTATTTGGTTGTTTTCTTTTGTTTTGTTTTTTAAATGTATTTATTTGTCTTTTTCCATCGCTACTAAGGTAACATTCAAGCTACTGCAAATGAAATAGTTAGGCTTAAAAGTAAAGGTAATCACATAACTAAAGAGACTACAGTCAAATGACTAATGATATTTCCTTACAGCCTATAACAGCTCCAGCTATTTGACCACTGTTGTTACAAACTTGGCAATCTTCTGTAAAAAAAAAAATATATAGTTAGGCATCATGGGTGAATATGGATATGTGCTTAATGTTGAATACAAAAATAGGGACATTTTGAAAACTCATTGCCAAACACAGACATATAAAAAAAATTAAATAAATTCAGGCATTTTCAACAGTAGAAAAATTTCAACATGAATGTTAGCCTTATATCCATCAAGCCCTAGACTCATCAAGCCCTTTTACCCATTAAGCCTTAAGCCCTATGTCATGTTTAAAAGAAAGTGTGCACAAGTAGCCGATAGGCCTACTGACTAGTGTCAACTGTATATAGATCTAGTATTTAACCATTTAGGTCAATTTTTAAAAAAAAAAGAAAGAAAGAAAATTATGATGTAGGTCTATAAAATTGACCTATACAACACACAATTATAATATAATAATTATATATATATATATATATATATATATATATATATATATATATATATATATATATATATATATATATATATATATATATATATAGATCTATATAATAGATCTATAGCAAAGTGAAAAACCTCCATCCTACCCTATTACTATTGTGTCAACCTAATTTTCTCACGCTCGTTTACATAACCTTAAGCTGAATTGACTGATTAACATTTCAGTTTAAATAAAAGTAATTTAGTAAAATCAATTAATTATTTACATAGGCCTTCAATGGGCTACAAGAATTTAAAACATAGCATCAGTATGTAGATCTATAAGCCTACACTTGTCTACAAAGTTTTAATTTTAAGCCAAGCAGTGAAAAACGTCACGGGTCAGATTACATCTTAGGCCTATTATTTAAATCAGCAGTATCGGGTTTTTAAAATATTGTCCTCGCAACCCCTCCCCTCTTGTCATATTGGCCTACTGGTTTTCCAGGAAGCAAGATACAATCTGATAAAGACGCTAACCCACCCTTTCTAAACTTCTCCCAAAGAGTTCTATCGTGTATGTTATATTTAAATTTGACCCACCTGTTTGATCATCGATATACGTGGTGTTTTCATCTGAAAGGTCAGCAAAATTTTAAATAATTAGTAGCTAATAATATAATTTGTGGAAGAATGTACTTTAACATAATAAAACCAAAAGTCAACATGATATGTGGAGATCAGTGGCGTCACTAGGCGGGGTGCGGTAACTTAGGGTGTCACCCACCCCGATGAGTCAATTTAAGACGTGTTAAAACTATAGTCAACGAGGAGTCACCATATCAGGAGGTTTAACTTTAATAAGTTCTTAAGCTAACTGGACGAGCCAGGCAAATTTTCACAATACAACGTGCGATTCTCCATTCTGGGGTCCACCTTTTAGTTGGTGTCACCCGGTGCGTCCCGCCCCGACCTAGTGACGCCCCAGCCTCCGTGTTCCATCAATCGCTTCTTGGCATGTAGCTGTTTGAAAAAAATTACTATCATAATGCGCTTTGTTTCTGTCTTTTCATTAAATGTACCTAAATGTTTGACAACTTTGTGATTGTAGAGATAGTTGATAATGTTGGCGTCAGCTGAATTGGGTACTTAGTACTTAATTTGGTTTTTATAAACTCCAGAGCCTCTCCATATTCGCCCAAACGTTTTTGGCGGCAGCAGTTTAGTCTGGTGGAATGTTGTTTTTATACACCAACTTTTACTCATACTAAATCTGCTAGCGTCCCAGACCGTTCGATCGTACGAGACAGTAAGTATGTCTAGGGTTGTTCGTTCACCGAATTTCGGTACGTTCTCTGGATTTTGTATAGTTCATCGGATTTCGGAAAGTTCTTTCTATGGTGTGTTTGTTATTCGAGTTACCGTTCAACACTCTAACCATCACTACAAAATTTAAAGTTATTTAAAAAATTAAGATGCAAAGGAATAAATACGCCAACATGTTAAAACTCATCTAACCAACATGTTTTTTTTTTTTTTAATTCAACGGTTGTATCAAATAAATTCTAACCGTTAAGAAACGTAAAAGTAATGCACACTTAGCTAACATAATTTTTACATTAAAGAAAACGTTTGTCTAGATAAGATAATTTATAATCGCAAACACAAGCGCGCTTATCTAATTGCAAAGGACACTGTGGTACGGATTTTAGACTGCCTGACCCCTGGGCCACCTGGAGCGTTCAGTCCAAGTAGGTGGCCTTGAGTCTTGAGTGGTCAGTCACGGTTAGTGACGTTTAACACGCTCATACACACAGCACACTCAATAAGTGACGTTTAACACGTTCATACACACAGTACACTCAATAAGTGAGGTTTGACTCTGTCACACACTAAACACATAGTTAAGAAAAGCATGTGTGTATGGATGGTTGGTTGGTGAGACAGGGGTGATTTTATGATGTCATCTAAGCGGTAATCCTGGATGTGACGACATATGAAGCTAGGAAGGATGAAATGGTGGGGGGGGGGGGGGGGGGAGGATGGGATGGGGGAAAGGAAAGGGGGGGGGGTAAATCGTATAAAATTGACTGATGTATTTTAAGAATCCTTAAATAATTTTGTCAGTGACTTAGTTAAGGTGCGTGTTTATCCTAGGGTGACACTATTATAAATGTTTTTAAAAAAGGGGAAAGGCAACATTGAGTATCCGGCGCCAAAGTGCCTAGCTCCGCCGTTGATTAGTTTAATTTACACTGTAAAGTATATTTGTTATGCAGCCTGTACATATGCACATTCAGGATGTTTGAGAATATGTAAAAATGGGGCGTGGAGTAGCAAATGGTCACATCCTGGAAAAAAAACTGCGCCGTAAAAAAGCACCACCCTAAAAAGTCCTACGGTGTATCGGAACAACTGACGTCGTGCCAATAATTCTAAATTTAACTTCTGTGAAATGTGTTATCTTTAGACACCAGTATCACTGTAATCTGGCCATATAACAGTATCCGTGTAATCTGGCCATGTAATCTACGCGGCATGCTGACACTGTATCCAGCACACTTGTACACAGTGTCGTCAGCTGTAACTTAGTGTAACTGCCCCGTTTTTTTTTCCAGGATGTGACAAAGATAGCTAGGTGACGTCACAGGAAAATATACCTGCACTTGTGGACACAACCTGTAGCTACGCTTCGCTGATTTTTAAAGGGTGTGTTAGATAACACAAATACACCCGAACGTTATACAGAAAGGTGTTTATAACAGTTATGATGTGATTCTAACTTTAATATACCAGTACTTTATACTGAAAGGTATTTATAACACCATTATACTGTCTGTTATAGTGTCACTACCAAAACACCACTATACTCGTCTGTTATACTATCACAAACACCACTATACCCGTCTATTATATTGTCAATACCAAAACACCACTATACCCGTCTATATACTGTCATTACCAAAACACCACTATACCCGTCTGTTATACTGTCAATACCAAAACACCACTATACCCGTCTATATACTGTCATTACCAAAACACCACTATACTCGTCTTTATACTGTCAATACCAAAACACCACTATACTCGTCTTTATACTGTCAATACCAAAACACCACTATACTCGTCTTTATGCTGTCAATACCAAAACACCACTATACTCGTCTTTATACTGTCAATACCAAAACACCACTAATTAGTCTCTTTTTCGCAGTGAGCGACTGTTGACAAAGATTGACTAAAATGTATCGTCTTATAAGAGCTCACACACAGCAGTACAATACGTTATATAGTTCACCCCTTAGCTGGTTCGATGGATGCACGTGTAGGTCACGCGCGGAAGAGTTGGTTTTTATCATTTGGTGAATATTTAAAATAAATAAAGAAAGAACAGACATTTTAAATTAAGCATTTAAAAATCAATCTTCCATTTCAATCCGGGTTGCAAACAACGTGGCCGAAAAGAAAGGCTTCGAAATTGCAAGCGCAAATACTTTTCATTCCTTGTTATTCTATTGTTTTTTTTCTCGTTAATTGAAAACAAATTACATGTAGCTTACAAGGCCTAAAAAGCGCTAAAAAAATTTAAGAAGACTTAATTTAGGGTCTATATGATAGAACTGCTTTTCTAGTTAAAATGTCTCTTTTTACCATTTAAAAAATATATCAATAAATCTGAGATGAGCACCAAATTGTTGTCACCATCTCCACTCTTCAAAGAATCAAGTTTTTCCATCACAATGTTACGTATGTAGCCAGGGACTAGAATAGCTTCAGTGTTATCTAGCTGTTTGTTGCCAGGTTGCTTCGTTATATAATCGTTATACAAAGCACGTTTTTGGAAGCTTGGATCACTCATTACATAAAGCAGGCAGTTGAAACAAACAGGTCAGCTTTCAGTATTAAATCAAGATTGTAAAACTATATTATCATACGCCTCTCTACATGGCGTCGATGGAAAAGTTACAAAACCACTGAACCGTGAATCACTTAACAGCAAGAGCCTGATTAAAGTCTGCTATCAACAAGGAATGCCAGTTGTGTCATGTTCTTCTTCTTGATGACCTGATAAGGCGTTTTTCATAGTCTAGTGGTAGGCAACATCTACGGAGACTCAGTTAAACACAGCCACAAGTAAATCTTTTTACTAAATACATTTTACGCCTAGACCTGGTGACGTCACTGATCCACATTATACTTAAAATTATTGCAACAAAATTATCTTTCTTGGTACGAAGTAAAATACAAATAAAACTAACATGAAATAGGCAATACGTTTGTTTTAAAAAATATATGTTATTCAAGGCAAACATTTCACAATCGCTGATTTCACAAATCGTTTTGAATCCGGTTGATTCGACGTTGTTCAATTTTGAAAAACCATTTTAACGCCTCTGAAAAACTAAATAATGATTTTCAACGGGTATACATTGGACTGTACAAGTAGAAATTTATATCCGGATTGACAAGTACAAGATGTGTACTGGGGTTTGACTCGATGTCAACAGCAAAAAAACACGAACAGGGAGTAGGAGACGAACAAAATAAAAACAAGAACAGTTTGGGAAAAAACAATTAGAAGCGGAAACAAAAACAAAAACACAAACACAATTTTTACTACAGGCCAACAACAAAACAACAACAATTTGGCTAGCAATTTGACAAAGGACCACAACTAAAATCATAATGAATTAGTGGCCATTAGTAACAAAAACCAAAACGACGATAAGTTGAAACGAACTAGTGTATGATATCGTGTGTTCTAACGACAAAAAAAATTCTTAAGTCAGATTTATTTTAAAACGTTGAATCTTCATTACTTGCTGGCGGGCAGAGCACTACATTAAAATTTAATTGGACTGACAGCAAACAGCTGTTGTGAGACTCGGTGACTAAACACTTTTGAGTCCTTTAATTATGTCTGATGTTGATTTTTAAGTCAAACTGATGGTAGACCAACTATGTCGAATTGATTTTGAAGATAGGGCTAAAGCAGTGGCGTAGCGATGTCGGGTGTCACCCGGTGCGGCACTTAATGGTGTCACCCCCCCCCCCCAGAGGCACAGAGACCCTTCCAAAGGACAAACTTTCAAACTTTCGATTTGCACCACCCCCCCCTCACTTTCGATTTGCACCCCCCCCCCCCCTCAAGTTTCCGATTTGCACCCCCCCCCTCAAGTTTTCGATGTGCACCCCCCTCAAACTTTCGATTTGCACCCCCCTCGAGTTTTTCTCTATATATTTTGCTATTTTTTTGCCTTGGTGTCACCCCCCTAAATGGTGTCACCCGGTGCGATCCGCACCCCCCCCTCGCTACGCCCCTGGGCTAAAGCATAAAAATACGGGAGCCCCTAGTACCTTGTGGGGGACAGAAGGCATATGCAGAAAGTGTTTCATTTTCGTATCTTACGGGGGGGGGGATTTAAAATCCCGGATGAAATAGAACCAATATAGGCCTATAATTTTTTAAAGAAAAAATTGAATCAATCAACTAGTGGCCGCTAACACCTTCCCCGCAGAAACAATGTCCGAAAGATATCCTGGACAAGCTCATCTTCTTCTTTTACTTTTACACGACCAAAAAATGATACATTTTTTTTACTAAATTGTAAGGAACTCCTACCAAAAACGAACCAATTCACTAAAATTTAAGGAACTACGACAAAAGAAACGAACCAATTTACTAAAATTTAAGGAACTACGACAAAAGAAACGAACCAATTTACTAAAATTTAAGGAACTTGCATGCTCCCAACCATTTCATTAGCATCGATATCAACTCTGTCTGTATGTACGTCGTGATTCCCCCGACACAAGATGCTTCGGTGTTGTGTTGTTACAGTTCAATCTACGATATTTACTTTCTGTTTCTCTCGTCTTTCGGAAATTTCCGACTGTTTATATTTATCCTACCTAGTGTGATATCTCCGCATAATCATCTTTCACGGAAAACTCGGCCAAGGTTTGTTGTGTGTGTGTAAATCATACACAACTTTTACAGGGGCGTAGCCAGGTTTTTCAGATAATGAGGGGTAGCGAACATGACAAAAAACTTTAAAAGAAGATGTTTGACTGTGTAAGATTACTTTATCTTTCTAGTTTTTGTCGTTTATTTAAGACCGGTAATGCATACAATGTCAATAAGCACTAGGGGAATGAGAAAGGTGTAATCTACTACAGTATGCTCTAGGAGAATGAAACTAATGTAGTCTACTACAGTATGCTTGCTCTAGAATGAAACTAATGTAGTCTACTACAGTATGCTCTAGGAGAATGAAACTAATGTAGTCTACTACAGTATGCTCTAGAATGAAACTAATGTAGTCTACTACAGTATGCTCTAGGAGAATGAAACTAATGTAATCAACTACAATAGACACTAGGGAGATGTAATCAGCTATAATTGCACTACTATGGGCCCATTCTTATCTTTGGGAAAATCTCAGATGTACCTTTTAGACTAGGTCAGCACGGCCGAATTCCAAGAGCAATCATTTTATATCTGGTGTTGTGTGTGTGCTGCTTGTGTGTAGGAAGGGTGTATCAGGTGTGTAGGTAGTGTGTATCAGGTGTGTAGGAAGTGTGTTGCAAGTGTGTAGGAAGTGTGTTGAAAGTGTGTAGGAAGAGTGTATTACGTGTGTATTACGTGTGTTGCAGGTGTGTAGGACGTGTGTTGGAAGTGTGTTGAAGGTCTGTGACAAAATTACAGGCTATATGTTGTGGCTGTGTTTCATTTGTATAGGTGTGTTGCCGGTGTGATATCCGTGTGCTGGAGATGTTAAATGTGTGTCGCACGAGTGAATTAAGTGAATTACAGGTGAGCGACACGTGTGTTACAGGTGTTGAGTGAGTGCCAGGTGTGTGCCAGGGATGTTACAACTGTGTTGAAGGTGTATCTCAAATACTGGCTTTCAGGTAAATTCCAACTGCGTCTCCATCTGATCGAACCTTTCTACTTTTGTTTCAGGTTTGAGAGTTTGGAGGGCAATAAAGCTTAACGAAAGAAAATGTTTTTAAATACGATTAATACGCTTCACAAATAGATGCCTTTTTCTTTAAAACGCAGTATAAATCAGCATCCGTTTCAATCAGTTTTAAATCTGACTCATTGTCGAATGGTACGGTAGCCAATTGTTTAATGATTGACAGTTTAGTTTCAGTTCGTGTTTTTATTTTTAGTTTGTTTCTAAATTTCCGTAACCTGGGCCTTCAACTCCCCCCCCCCCCCCTCCCCCCACATACACCTCCGCTGACTCCCCGACTCCGCCCCTGACCTATGTATAAAAGCTTCAGGGTCCTCTCCACGGGTCACATTTCCGAACTAATTCTAGGAGGTCTAAGTCCTACAATCCAGCCACGACTACGGTAATGTTTTTTTTTTAACAGGTAGAGCTACCGTGTAGGTGTGGGGCAAGTCTGCAGCGGATGTTTTTTTTACTACACAGGGGGAGGGGAAACGTGTCAGTGACGTAAGGTAATTTGTCGAAGCGCTTGACCTTTGATTGGATACGATAATCTATCAAAGCTTTAATCAAACTTTGTGGTTGTACAGCTATTTGCCTTTTCATTTTAAATGAGTTGTATTTTTTTTTTGAAAAATTGCATTACACGTTGTTAACAATGGAATACTAAAAGACTTGTTCATGTAATATCAGATTTGATATTTATTATTTACTGGGCATATTACAACATGCCGTAGTTGCTATCGACTTGATTATACACATATAGTTTTATAGCTGAAATAGCTCTAAGCTTTTTGATCCGTATGTTATGGACATTTTTAAAAATGTTCACATTTAAAATGCTTTAAAATAAAATTTCTAATACTTGGATTTTGAAAAAAAAATACATTTACTCCAATATTTCTGGGTGGTTTGTTAACGTTTTAGTTTCAAGTTCGTGTACTCTACTAAAACCTGCTCATTAAAACATTAAAATACTTTGTTAGGATTAACTTTTGCCATGAATGACGTATTGCAGTAGGAACTCCTAGGGCTGAGGCAGCGTTACTAAATAGCATTACAAGTTGCATGAATGTATGTGAACATATATAGATAGATAACCCGATATGTGTTACATACGAATACGATATATATATATATATAGCTAGATTTATTGTTATATTATGGAAAGATATGTACTGACGGGCGCCATAAGATTGTATCCGTGTACAGTTGAAGTCTAGTCGCTAGTGCAATGTTAGTTCTGGGAAAAATGACATGGATCATCAAAGGTGTGCAGTAGGTTGTCAGTCATAGGGGTTCAATGGTGCAAGGGTTCACTGGCACACGGGTTCATTGTCATAGGGATTCATTGTCATAGGGTTTTAATGCACAGGGGTTCATTGTCATAGGGGTTCAATGGTACACGGGGTCATTGGCACACGGTTTCATTGTCATAGGGGTTCATTGTCATAGGAGTTTAATGGCACAAGGGTTCATTATCACACGGGTTCAATAGCACTCGGGTTTAATGGTAAACAGGTACATTGTCATACTAAGCCACCCTCACACCCCTCCATTGTCCCACCAAGTCACCATCACTCCCTCACACCCCTCCACTGCCACACTAAATGATTGTCCTGCTAAGTCACTGAAACACAACTGAGATAAACTCTGGTACGTGTAGGGACATTTTGTTTGTCTTGTACACACAGACACGCATAGGTCAATCTACACGCACATCCTGAGCTATTGTCAATTAGACAAAGCAGGTTTTGCTTACAGAGTCTTGTCACTTGGTCAGTTAGACAGTAGGTTTGGGTTAGTGAGTCTTGTCACTTGGTCAGTTAGACAGTAGGTTTGGGTTAGTAAGTTTTGTTTTGGTCAGAGTTAGACTGTACGTTTGGGTTAGTAAATCCTGTTACTACATAAAGTAGGGTTGGGTTTGTTAGGCCTTCTCAATAGATTCGAGTTCCATAACGTAGGGTTGGGTTTGTTAAGCCTTGTCAATGGGTTCGAGTTCCATAACGTAGGGTTGGGTTTGTTAAGCCTTGTCAATGGGTTCGAGTTCCATAACGTAGGGTTGGGTTTGTTAAGTCTTGTCAATGGGTTCGAGTTCCATAACGTAGGGTTGGGTTTGTTAAGTCTTGTCAATGGGTTCGAGTTCCATAACGTAGGGTTGGGTTTGTTAAGTCTTGTCAATGGGTTCGAGTTCCATAACGTAGGGTTGGGTTAAGTCTTGTCAATGGGTTCGAGTTCCATAACGTAGGGTTGGGTTTGTTAAGTCTTGTCAATGAGTTCGAGTTCCATAACGTAGGGTTGGGTTTGTTAAGCCTTGTCAATGGGCTAGAGTTCCATAACGTAGGGTTGGGTTTGTTAGGCCTTGTCAATAGATTCGAGTTCCATAACGTAGGGTTGGGTTTGTTAAGTTTGTGACAGAAGCCTATTGTTCAAGTGCAGGATTTCCGGACACAATTCAAATATTCATTTCTCTTAATATCCCAGAGAGTATAAGATTCAGACTTCTTGGAATATTTGGACCGGATATGTTTCGTGCCATTACGCAATCCTGTGTTGCAGACATGCGATCGTTGAAAGCTTAACATTAGATTGCTATCCCGTGGATATAAAAAGTAAGACGTGTTGGACAAAAACAAACCACGATCGTGTAAAAATAGCATTTGTTTACCTTATCAGATAGAATTGGGAATGCGTTCGAAATTCCACGGAAATGCTGAAATATAGTAGATCTATGTGTACATAAAGGTAACGGTGTGAGTGTGTGTGGTGTGTGAAGGTGTTAGGGTGTAGACATAGTACTTCAGTGACTTTGTTTATTAAAGTTTTCCGTAACCGTTGGCCTAAAAATGTAAACGTTGGCATACACGTCACTGATGGGTACCTAGTCTAGTGTGAGTAGTGATGGAAATAGGTGGTGAACACCCCCCCCCCCCTCCCACCTGGATATTCAAACTCGCGACCCCCCCTCCCCCACCCCCGCCCCAGTGTCTAAAATACTGGATATAAAAACAATCTCCCGTTTAATATTTATATAAGTAAAAGAATAAACATTAGGACATCTAAAAATTGTTTTAGGTAACTAGAAAAAGCTGCATCTTAATTCTTTCAATGAAAGTTTTTTAAAGATTGTATTTAAAGTAAAAGTAAATTTTCGAAAGACAGGTAGTGTACGGTTCTATCGAAAACAATTTCACAATATCGCCTCAATATCAAGAAATATAATAATACATTTGCATTTTTCAGAAGAGGACACTTTTTTTTTGGATCTTGGAGCTAACAGCAGACAGAACCAGCCCCCAGACCGTGAGTTGATAAAACACCGGTCCACTAGCAGACGTTCAGACATGCAGGTGTACATCCTTCTGCTGGTGCTGGCGTCGTGTCTGCTGGGGTCAGCTGACCATGACGGGTGTGAGAGCAAGCAGGCCTCACCTGTGGGCCAGGCCCAGGTGGTCTATGAGTGGGTCAGCGTGGAGTATGAGTGGCCCACCGAGGCGATGCGGGCCCAGTATGTGGCGGACGGCCGGTTCGTTGTCTCGCATAATTACCTGTCGGCCGTCAAGACGCACAGGTGAGTAGTATACTGCGACACAGGTATTCACACAGGTGAGTAGTATACTGCGAGACAGGTATCACACAGTGAATGTAGGTAGTAAAGTAGTAATGGTCCATGGGGCAGGTGAAGTAGAGTTCACCTGTTTCTGAGACCTCTGCTTATGTGGTCAGAACTATACTCATCTGCTCTTAGTATCCCTAATGCGAGTCATACCCATTTGAGCTGGGATTCGAATTTGAGACTTTCGGCTATGCAGTCTTACACTCTGCCACCCGACCACGCCGATCCCACATATAGGTAGTTTACTCCTCCAGACGCGACAAGGGCAGATGAAGTAGAGCTTGTCAGTTTCTTTAAACCGTAACATAAAACGGCTTGTAAACACTCAGCACCATGCTCACCTTCTGCCGGATAGCTCGCATATTTGGAGACGTTCTTCTCCGACTGAGAACGGAACTCAAACTTTTGAGATTCGCCAACACGAGCTCTAGTACCAGACCACGTCGGGCACAACAAGATCAAATCCTAAGACTTTCAGCTGTAATGCCGACTTCCTTCATCTAGCAACTGAGTTTCTTCTAGGCATCTCTTCGGGGGTGAGGGGGGGTGGGGCAAAGCCCTCTTCCCCCCCCCCACCCCCCGAAAAAATTCTACCGCCCCCCCCCCCCCGAACGAAATGAAATTTATATAATTTATATAGAAAATATATACTTTTAACAGTGTCCGCCACCCCCCCCCCCCCACCCGAAGAAAGTCTACCCCCCCCCCCCCCCCCCCCGAAAATTTCAAGTGCCCCCCCCCCCCCCCCCGGAGAAAAAAGTCTGGAAGAAACACTTTCTAGCAGTGGTTTAAATTGGGATGTTGTCATTAGAGGCTATCTACTGCATAGATGCGACATCCAGAACTACGTTGTAGGCAGTAACATTACGGCCACAGCGACATGTAGGGACTGTAAGACAGTGCCAATGTACTTCTACATTGTAGGCTTCCACTGATGCAGATACAATTAGCTGACTAATGAGTCGTGTGTCTAATGAGCCATTAGTCCTCCAGTGTCACGTAGCCGGTAAATAAGGTTGTGACGGGAGTCAGCACGTTGATAAAGTCAACTATCACATCAGTTATGTGACGTTTGCACGTTGATATAGTCAACTATCACAAAAGTGTTGTGACTTTTTTTGTACGTTGATAAGTCAACTATCGCATCAGTGATGTGACATTTTTTGTACGTTGATAAAGTCAACTATCACATCATTGATGTGACGTTTGCACGTTGATATAGTCAACGATCACAAAAGTGATGTGACTTTTTTTGTACGTTGATAAAGTCAACTATCACATCATTGATGTGACGTTTACACGTTGATATAGTCAACGATCACAAAAGTGATGTGACTTTTTTTGTACGTTGATAAAGTCAACTATCACATCATTGATGTGACGTTTGCACGTTGATATAGTCAACGATCACAAAAGTGATGTGACTTTTTTTGTACGTTGATAAAGTCAACTATCACATAATTGATGTGACGTTTGCACGTTGATATAGTCAACGATCACAAAAGTGATGTGACTTTTTTTGTACGTTGATAAAGTCAACTATCACATCATTGATGTGACGTTTGCACGTTGATATAGTCAACGATCACAAAAGTGATGTGACTTTTTTTGTACGTTGATAAAGTCAACTATCACATCATTGATGTGACGTTTGCACGTTGATATAGTCAACGATCACAAAAGTGATGTGACTTTTTTTGTACGTTGATAAAGTCAACTATCACATCATTGATGTGACGTTTGCACGTTGATATAGTCAACGATCACAAAAGTGATGTGACTTTTTATGTACGTTGATAAAGTCAACTATCACATCATTGATGTGACGTTTGCACGTTGATATAGTCAACGATCACAAAAGTGATGTGACTTTTTTTGTACGTTGATAAAGTCAACTATCACATCATTGATGTGACGTTTGCACGTTGATATAGTCAACGATCACAAAAGTGATGTGACTTTTTTTGTACGTTGATAAAGTCAACTATCACATCATTGATGTGACGTTTACACGTTGATAAAGTCAACTATCACATCATTGATGTGACGTTTACACGTTGATATAGTCAGCCATCACCAAAGTGAAAAAGAAACAAGTTATGATATTTTCGAAGAAATCAAATGATTTATTACGTTTAAGATTACGACTTTTGTGTGGACTAGGGTTTAAGGACTTGCCTGATATTCAGAGCTGGAACCAAATTGTCCTGAAATATTTTACTGCCCGAACCAACAAATACCATTTCCCTTCCTTATTTGTGCCAATGAATATCTTGCTTTAACGAGTATCTTGTTTTTCTCGTCCTGAGTCAGTTTGATATTGCCTTTCTCTTTTTTCCTGTCTAAATGAATTCTTGTGTGTAATTCTCTCCTTGTTTCCAAATACTTCTTAGAACATTTTTGTGACATTTTTCTGTGATTTTATTCCTGTGACTTTTTCCGGATAAAATATTTCCTTTGTGACTTTTTCTGTGATTTTTTTTTCCTAGAAAAAACTGACTTTTTTCTGGGTTAGATTTTTCTGTGATTTTCTTCCGCTCACTGTATTCCCCCCCCCCCCCCACCCTCAACCCACTTTTTTCTCCCCAGGGACAAGGTTTACGTGACCGTCCCCAGGCTGGGCTACACCACGGGCGTCCCGTCCACCCTCAACGTTCTGGTAACCAGTGGCAACAAGACTCTACTGAGGCCTTTCCCCAGCTGGGAGGCTCAGGAGCTGGGCAACTGTAATGCCATACAGGTGAGTGGGGGTGGGGGGTAGGGGGTGGGGGTAGGGGGACTGGGCAACTGTAATGCCATACAGGTGAGTGGGGGGTGGGGGTGGGGGGGGGGGAAGGGGGACTGGACAACTGTAAGGCCATACAGGTGAGTGGGGGGTGGGGTGGGGGGTAGGGGAACTGGACAGCTGTAATGCCATACAGGTGAGTGGGGGGTGGGGGTGGGGCGGTAGGGGGACTGGACAACTGTAATGCCATACAGGGGGGTGGGGGTGGGGGGGGGGGGGGGTAGGGGGACTGGACAACTGTAATGCCATACAGGTGAGTGGGGGGGGGGTGGGGGGTGGGGGGGTAGGGGGACTGGACAACTGTAATGCCATACAGGTGAGTGGGGGGTAGGGGGACTGGACAACTGTAATGCCCTACAGGTCAGTGGGGAGTGGGGGCCAGTGTTTCTTCCAGACTTTTTTCTCCGGGTAGGGGCACTTGAAATTTTTGGAGGGTGGGGGGGGGGGTGGTCGGACAGTGTAAAAGGTATATATTTTCTATATAAATTCCATTTCGTTCGGGGAGGGGGGGGGGGGGGGGGGGGCTGGAAGAAACCCTGGTGGGGGTGGGGTTGGGGAGTGGGGGGGCTTGGCAACTGACTGTAATGCCGTACAGGTCAGTGGGGGGAGGGGCAACTCTAATGCCCTACAGGTCAGTAGGGTGGGCGGGGGCCAGTGTTTCTTCCAGACTTTTTTCTCCGGGTAGGGACACTTGAAATTTTCGGAGGGGGGGGGGCGGACACTGTTAAAAGTATATATTTTCTATATAAATTCCATTACGTTCGGCGGGTGGGGGTGGGACCTGGAAGAAACTCTGGTGGGGGCTGGGGGTGCCATACGATAAATCCACTCATCCCTGTCAATGATCTAATGCAGGGGTCTCCAAACTTTTCAGTCCGAGGGCCGCATTAACTATCAAATTTCAGTTCGGGGGCCAGTTTCTTCCAGGCATGTATTTGATTTTTCTGGGCAAAGTTCCTCGGCCATCATCAACAAACGATTTTTCCTTGGACAAAAAGATCTCCGCGGGCCGGATGAGAGGACTTCGCGGGCCGCATCTGGCCCGCGGGCCGTAGTTTGGAGACCCCTGATCTAATGGATATACTTAAACTGTAACAAGTTGTGAAGAATGAATTTAAAAATGTTACATCACTTTATCAAGAAACAATGTATTGACTTCCACAATTACCTGATTACAAAAAAACTAAAACGACAAATAACATCCTGTTTGTTACAGTGTGCAATGAGTATCGAAATCGACCCCATCACTGAGTTTATCTACGTCATCGATCCAGGCCGACCGGTCATCTTGGGAAACACGACCAAGATCCCTGGGGTCACCTACTGTCCAGCTAAACTTGTCGTCTATAACCTCAGAGGTAAAATCTTCACACGGTTTACTTATGCGGCTAAAAAGTGTTACGTATCATTGTGTTCTATAAAGTAGTCGTTCCTAAAGATGCCACACACTTAGCGGGTGGTTTGTCCGGACTTTTGTGGAGATGAGTGACACCACAAGGATGGTGTATGGGTGTTTAGTAAGTACGACGTCACACTTGAACGTGAATTAATTAAGTTATTTTGCAATTTTTGATAGACTTTCTTGTAACTTGTAGTAATAAGCGACCACTATGTGCAGTTCATATATCGAAAAGAATCATCGTTGTTTCAAAGTAAAAAAAAAATGAAATTTGGATGGTTAAGTAGGCTGTTACGTGTCGTCTGCTTAGGAAAGTTTTTGGCGCTTTATAAAGATGTGTGACGATGTAGAGGGTGGGGTAGGGGAGTTAAAAAAAAACGTCAACAAATGTGACGACAATAGACGACTTATAAATATATAATAAATAATCTGCAGATATTATTTTCCCTTTTTCCAAACTTGTATTGCAATTAAAAATAAAAACGGTAATTTTTTCTTCTACCAGACGGAAGTTTAGTCCGGAGACATTTTTTCCCAGAAGACCTAGTCATCAAGGAGACGAACTTCCTCAACGACATCGTCATCGACAGGGGGAGCCGCTACTCCCTCTCGGCCAGGCACGTCTACATCACCGACGCCATCGACTCCAAGCTCATCGCCTTTGACCTGACCTCCAACAGGACCTCCATCTTCCAGCACCCCAGCATGGACGCCGAGCTGGGGGACGGGGCGGATATCACCGTCAACGGGGTCAAGTACACCATGAGGATCCCCATCGACGGGCTGGCCATCTCTAAAGACTTCCACTACGTGTATTACTGCGCGCTGGGCAGCAAAAAATTATACCAAGTACCGTCTCGAGCTTTGAGAGATTCAAGACTCAGTTTCGCTTCTCATGTCAGATACGTCGGATCGAAAGTTTCTCAAACAGGCGGAATGACGTACGGAACGCATAATTTGTATTTCGGAGCGTTGGGTGAAAACGCCGTGTACAGATGGGACTTTGATTACGACAAGGCTCGACAAAACGCTCACGACGACGAGGTGGAGATGAAGACGCAGACGCTGATCGCGAAAGACGATGCCAGGATGCAGTGGCCGGACTCGTTCACCATCGATGACCACGGCTACCTCTGGTTTTCTGCCTGCAAGGCTCAACTGTTTCTCCGTGGGGGTATGGACTACACCGGTAACAGCGGCCCGAATTATAGGATTTGGAAAGTGAAGATTTCGGAAGAGAGTTATCTCTACTCTCCGTATGCTGCGGCGGTGGTCATAGGGAAATAGCTGGTCAACTTTGTGAAGGATAATGTGGTTGTTGGGATGTATATTTGAGTAGAAATAATATTGTAATTAAATGTAAATTTTGTAAGATCTGAATAGAATCATTATGAAGTGGTGTATTAAAAATAGAATAAAATATGTATTGGATAAATGTGTTGGCGTGTTATTCAGGAAGGTCTTTTTAAGAAAAGTTGAGATGTTGACAAAGGTCTTAGTTTCTCAAAGCCACACGTGGTGTTTTAAAATGGTGGCGCGTGTAATGATTGCTATAAATATACTCAAATGCAAATACGCTCACTGCAACAATTTTACCTATCAGAATACAAAACACACTAGGCTTAAAATCTAGATTATATAGTTTTTTTTTTAATTTCATAAACTGATGGAAATTTAAAAACAAACACGAAGAATTAAAAAGGAATGAAACAATTGAACGAAGTTTCAACTGCTAGTCAAACCACGCCAGAATCTTCGAAAAGCATTAATTCGCTACAACCATGTTTAATTTTAACAAAAATCTCCGAAAAGCATTCATTCGTTTGACAAGTGGTTCATTTTTTTAAAATTAATTTTTGCTTTCTCTTACATTATTAGGTTACGTTTGTTCAAAATGTGCTGTTAAAAAAGACTAACTCTACTATGATGTGCTGTGTCTGATTAGTCTCCTTCGTGCGGTGTTCACATAACTCAAAGGGAGATAACCCATAAAAAAGATGCGATTTTTATGTTTTACATCTCGTTGTGTCCCTTTAATTGTATTTCTCTATTAAAGCTATCTAATATGGTTCTACGCAGCTGTTAAGAAGGGGGGCGGGGGGAGTTTAGTTGTTAAAAGAGAGGGAGATTTCAAACGATTTTTTTAAAGAGTAGTATTAAAGTCTTTACTGATCATAAGGCACTATGAATCGAAAACGTGTGGCCAATTAGCCCAATTATCAAATTTGATTATACATGGCTAAACTTGGAAATAGCCATTTAATCAAACCATCAATATCAGCATTTGTTAACAAGGCTCTGGAAAAAGATGACAAAAACATGACACAAAGTATAAATATTTTTAGCAAAATATAAATAAATGAAGGTATAGAAATACAGATTGCTGATAAGCTGAAACAAGGACTTTCTCTGTGCTAGTTGAGGAATTCATTTTAGGAGACAAGGCACGGTTGTGTGAAGAAACGGAAATAGAAATATCTAACTAAAACCTAACATACAAAAAAACTATTGTTACCGTTTCGTCTTCATATGTAACTGAATGTTGATTTAAGGACATAAAAGATTGGATGCCAAAACACAAAAAAATTGCTGGGAATGGGAGATAACTGAAATGGAACTAGACATAATAAATATTTCAGCAGAAAGCATTAAGCGCAACGAGTTATAAATGATTTTAAATAATAAAAATAACATAGAAATTATGTTATTAATTTCTTTTTGTATTGAATTCTACGTTTTTTGAAAATAGCTTTCTGTGTTTGATTATTAAGATCAATGAGTTCATCTTAAAACTAAGTACACGTTTTTAGTGATTACTTTATGTTTATATATTTATAAACTTGCATATTCTACCCGGGGAGGGGGATTTGAATTATAGAAAATACAACTTAGTGCTAGTTTCTCAACGTTTGTCAGGTCATCGTGACCCTTGGATCATGTGACCCACTACGTCATTGAAGATGCGGTCTGAGATTCCAAATAACTTTCCGTAACATCGCATTAGCATGGCTTAGATTTTGGACTCAGTACTGCTCTTTTATTCCTTCGACAAGATAAGACATCTCTGTCATCTGCATAACGCCAGCTATGGTAGCCAGAACCGTAGCGAGGGGAGGGTGAGTGGCGCAGATGCCCTGGGTGCCGACTCTAAAGGCGGGGGGGGAGGGGGGCGCCAAACAGGGTAGAAAAAAATATATTTAAAGCTGATAACTAATTTATCCACAGTCTCGAGGTTTAGAAAATAGGCTGCTACTTGGCTTTATGGTCTTATTTAAATGTTCACTGCATGAATTGTAAGACACCGTGTAATGCAAAAGGTAAGTGATTGGTAAAAGCCCATCGACTTTTTTTTAATTAAAGGGGAGGGGGGCTATTTCACAAACGTGAATAAATGCGCGGGGGGGGGGGGGGGGGATAGATACTTTTCCCATTGGCGATGGAATGAGTCGCTACTCCTCAGGTGGTACCATTTGCCCTTCATTGTTTTCTATTGTTTCAAAGAAGGTTTTAAAGGGCCTTGGACAAAATAAACTTCAACGTCTCACGCCAACTGTTGATTTTAAGAATTCTTCTATCCTTGTGTTCAGATTGACTGCGTTTAGTGCTAGATCATACAGGTTTTGTATTACAATAGTTTGATCATAATTCCTGCTGTATTAACACTTATGGGACAGTGTAGTCTAGAACACACAACTGCTAACCCCAAAGTCGCGAGTCGTCGAGTCCAATCAGCTGTGATGGGTACCTGGCTCATGTTGGGCTATGTAAAGGTGGCTGTGTGTCGTACCGACCACACCCTCCCCTTATATGCCGAGGTGACTAGAACACGTGAATGTGAACCATGCAATATTTCCTCTACATGCTGGAGAGGTAAGGAAACACATAAAGTGCACTATGCCATATGCTCTACCCAATGACAAATTCATGGCTACGCTACTGTGGTGCCTTGTGACTTAATGTGCGGACAAGTGTCTATGACTTTATGACTGTTTAGTGTGTTTATGACAATACAGTGTGCCATGTGACTTCATGGCTATACACCGTGTATGTGACTTCATGGCTGTACATTTTGTACGTGACTGTACACTGTATGTGACTTTATGGCTATACAGTGCGTATGTGACCTAAAAACTGGACAGTGTACTATGTGAGTTAATGGCTCGACAGTGTGTCGTGTGATTTAATGGCTAAGCAATGTGTAGTGTGACTTTATGGCTCGCGAGTACGTCGTATGACTTATGACTTAATGACTGGACAGAGTCATAAAAAGTGGACATATCATGTGACCTAGTACTGGACATGATATCATGTGACCTAACTTTTGGACAAAATATCATATAACCTAATATCTGAACAGTGACCTAATGTCTAGACAGTGTGTCATGTGACCTATTGTCTGGACAGTGTGCTGTATGACCTAATCTCTGGACAGTGTTTCATATGACCTAATGTCTGGACAGTGTGTCATATGACCTAATGTCTGGACAGTGTGTCATGTTAACTCATATCTGGACTGTGTGCCGTATGACCTAATGTCTGGACAGTGTGTCATATGACCTAATGTCTGGACAGTGTGTCATATGACCTAATATCTGGACAGTGTGCCATATGACCTAATGTCTGGACAGTGTGTCATATGACCTCATGCTGTCTAACGCTCGTGTACAACCGATGGCTGGAAATTTCTATTTTTGTTATTGTTGATCTGGTAACCTTGACAACGCGTAACAATACAATCACAGTTGATCACATGCTGAGATTATGAAGCAAAGCTCAGCCGACGGAGAACAATTTTCGTGCACGGCAGGAGGTCAAGGCTTTTTAAAAGAACAGCTTGGTGTTTCAAATTTCGTCTGTGTGCGTGATGGGGTAGGGCAATGGGAGAAGGGGTGGGGGGGGGGGGGATGGATGGTGAAGGGCCATGAAATGGGAGAGGGGTGGGGGTGGATGGTGCAGGGCAATGAGAGAAGGGGTGAGGGGTGGGGTGGATGGTGAAGGGCAATGGGACAAGGGGTGAGGGGGTGGGGGGAGTGGATGGTGAAGGGCAATGAGACAAGGGGTGAGGGGTGGGGTGAGTGGATGGTGAAGGGCAATGGGACAAGGGGTGAGGGGTGGGGGTGGATGGTGAAGGGCAATAAGATGGGGGAGAGGGTGGGGGAGTGGATGGTGAAGGGCAATAAGGCATGGAGTGAGGGGTGGGGGTGGATGGTGAAGGGCAATGAGATGGGGGAGGGGGTGGGGGTGGATGGTGAAAGGCAATGAGACAAGGGGGTGGGGGGGTGGGGGAGTGGATGGTGAAGGGCAATGGGACAAGGGGTGAGGGGGTGGGGGAGTGGATGGTGAAGGGCAATGGGACAAGGGGTGAGGGGGTGGGGAAAGGTAAATGGGGAAGGGCAATGAGACAAGGTGGGGGAGGGGGAGTGTGGATGTATAATATTCTGCTGGAACCCGCAAAGTTGGAGTATTTAAAAAGAAAAAAAAATGATTTAGAAATTAATGTAAATAAGATATAGAATAGTACAGATATGTACATACAGATAGTACAGATATTTGCACACTCTTTACAGATAAGGCGGAGTGGGGCTGTCAATGAGAAATATCACGTGGTCTTAGGTTTAAACAGATGGCTAAATTATATAAACTCTCTTAGCGTAAAAGTGTAAAAAAAAATTGATGAATAGCATGAATGTTTAGCCTAAAAGTTTAACAGATGGTTATAATATCATGGGAACGCTCAGAGCGAAAGTATAAAGCATGGCTAAATTTATTGAACGTTAACAGTAAAGTATAAGGCATCAAAATGTATTCACTCAAGATTTGTTAGGCTCCCATCTTCTGTGTCTCCCACTTCCCATTTCACTTAACTAGTTCCACATCCTCATTTTAGAGTAGGAGGGTCATCCCCTCCCTCCTTCTCTCGCCTCTCGTTCACGTGTAACCCCCCCCCCCCCCCAACCTCTTCAACGCTCTAAAACTACCCCTCTATCTCCCCTCTTCCGTGTACCAGTCCTTCCACCCCTCTCTTTCCGACTTGTAGCAATCTCACCTCCCCCTCCACAATACACTCCCCCACCTCCCGCGGACCATTCCCCCAACCACACACCCACCCCCACCCCTGCGTACCAGTCAATCCTTCACACGAGCATATCGATCCCACATCTTGGACCATCGAGAAATTATTTCAACAGTCGTCGCTGTCGTTGTCGCCATTCATTGAGATCATAGTCCCGACACTGGCACACGCCGCAGTATCGCCATTTACCACCTGCACCATCTTCATTACAACCACCACCCTCTACTTCCACCTCCACCTCCACCACTATCACCACTCTCCACTCCCAACACCCTCTACTACCACCACTATCATCACCATCCACTCCGACCTCAACCGCAACCACCACTACAACCACTCTCCACTTCCACCTCCATCTCAACCACTACCACCATCCACCGCTACTACCACCCTCCACTTCCAACTTCACCAACAACAACAACCTTCATCTCCATTTCCATTTCCACTTCCACTGCCACCACCATTACCACCACCCTCCTGCTCCACCACTATCACCACTTCCACTGCCACCACCACTACTACCACCCTCCACTACCACCACTACCACCACAATCACCATAATCCACTACCACCACCTCCCCTTAACGACCACCCCCCTCCCCCACCAGTACCACCCCACCTGGCTCCACCAAAGAAATCCACAACAACACCTGCATGCTCTATCGGCACTGATCTAATAAACAGACACGGTATCCTAATCTCCCACCGAAGACAAAGGAAACATTCATAAACACACTGTTGGCATGGAAACCAGACTCCTAAAATACACATAATGCATTAATTTATAACAACTGATTATATAAATGGCGATTTTTTTAAATGCATGGACGAAGACATTTGTTTGAAACTTTTTATGATGTGGTTGATTTATTTTTATTTTTAGACTGCTAAAGTTATTGTTTTTGTCCAGTAAGAATAATTACGAAAAAAATCTACATCTTTAATACAAAACAGGGAGGGAGTGGGTGATATTTTACAAATTGAGTCGCAGGTAATCATTCCCACCCCCACCCCTACCCTAGCATCCACACACAACCTCTCCCTCTATTAAAAGACTTGATGAAGATGTGCTACACTGTTATCCTGGCCACATTCACATTTCAGCTTGAAAACAAAACAAATGTTGACTTACCGTCATTTTCAAAATCCTGGCCCAAGACAATCACCGGTGCGCAACACCAAAAGAGGGAAATCCCGAACACCAAACTAGCCATATTTAGAACCAGTTGTGTCCCCTTGTGCGCAGCGTAGTGCGAGTTGTCTCGCCTGGCTTGATTGTGTCCCCTTGGTCTGGCACTGCCGAGCACTGGACATCGGCAAGTTTCTGACTCAGCCCCTGGCCAAACGACACTTTGTCTGGGCTTCATTCAGGCAGAGCTAGGGGAGGGGAGGGGGTGGTTGGTTGATTCACTCAGTTCTGGTGTGTCTTGATGGGGGGGGGGGAAGGGGGGTCTTTAGTTCAGCGGGTTAAAATAAAGGCAAATGACGTCACCCTGACAATGTTGCTGCTGGTAGTTCTGTTGAGAAAAAAAAATATTTTTAACATTTCCAACTTGGTCCCATTTCATGGGGAGGGGTGGGGGGGGGGGGGGGTTGTCCAGTGTCCTGTTCTAGGACTTTCTGTTTAAACTATAGGCACACCCGCTACAAGCACAAGTTGACACTTTTGTATGAGCATACAGAATCAGCTAATCTTGTGTAAACACTAGACAATAGCAACATAACTCTGCACGGCCGTAGGTGTATTGCCATGTTATTCCCTTCTGATCCGCTTCTTACAAACCTAAACACACCACAACACAACACAACACACCACAACACAACATCCATGTTATTTCCATCTGATCAGCTACTTACAAACTTAAACACAACGCAACACAACAGCCATGTTATTCCCATCTGATTCTAATCTTACAAACCTAAACACAACACAACACAACAGCAAGTGAAATGTTGGGCTAATTGATCATCATCGATCAAAACAAAATTGGATTTTTAATCCGACAACCGGATAAATAAGAAATGTTACATTTATACACTGTATTTTCCGACTAAGCGCTTAAGGGGGGACCAGTACTTAAAAATCGCATTTTTGTTATCTTTTTGCCTATGTATATTTATTAGTCTAATGCAACTCTAACATCCTATGAATGACTTGAACTAATCTATTGTACTAAAAAAATGTGTTGAAATACTTATTTTAGTGTTTATAGATGCCTAGTTTTGATAACATTTTATTTTTTACAAAAATAGCCATTGACACTTTTCGGCCTACTCCAAATTTTCTAAAGAAGAAATCTCAAAAACTGTCTTACAGAATACATTGAAACTTGCACAGTCTTTACAATATAGGTTGTTCTGCAAACTGATAGAAGCTTTTAATGATACCTTTCTTTGTTTAATTTTTATGGTTGTTTAAAGTTCATGTCTCTCCACAAGGGCTCTTTTTTTCTAAGTGACGTCTAAAAAAATTCATATTTTAAAAAGTTTGTGTTTAATCTAAATATCCTTCTATCAGTTTGTTCTGTAACCATTGCTAAATGTGGGTTTTAATTTATGTATTATTATGTCTTATACGTACTGAGATTTTTAGCATACAAAATTGCATATAAAAATACATATAAACTCAACTTTTTGGGGTTCAACATTTGTTCTCAACATGTTTGAGATATGTTATCTTTAAAACATATTAATATCTTTGTTTTAGCTATGTAGACAATGTTCAATTGCTGATCTTTAATAAAATAAAAATTAAGTACCGGTCCCTCCTTAAGACTAACCCCCCACCACAACCTCTCCAGTTAAAATACAAGAATAGAGTTTGAGATCTACGCGCTCTATAGTAAGACATCCGACGACGTATAAGATGACACCGAATTTTTGCGTTTTTTCGAAGATTAAAACGTTGTTATATAGGCCGGAAATGTGCTTGAATGTGTTTATGAGTGTATGTGTATTAGCTTGAGTGTGTGTATGAATATGAACTTGTGTGTATGTGTGAGTATGAGAGAGTGTGCATGTGTACATGAGCGTGTGTGAGCTTGTGTGTGTATGAGTGCATGTGTGTATGAGTATGAGCTTGTGTATGCATGATTATGAGCTTGTGTGTGTGTATGAGTACAAGCGTATGTGTGTTTATGTGTGAACGGTACACTATATCGGCCTCCATAGCACTGCCTTAACATGGATAAAGGGAGACTAGTAGGTAAACACATCTATACCTATGTATTCACGTTCACTGAAGCGAAACGATACAAATTAAAGGCTATACAGACTGTAACACAGGTTTCAGAACCTCGAGTAAGTCGGTTTTATTTTTTATAAAAGCAGTAGGGGAAAATATTATTGTCAGTTTGATGAATTGATAGTAAGTTGGCTTTGTTTGAAGCCAACATGTCCCTAGTCATCGTTGGTTGTTAGTTCCCTTTTATTTAATTGTTAATGGTAGCTTGTGTTGTGTTACAGGCTGGTATACAACCAAGTTTTGCTGGGAGGGTCCACGCTCAGGGAAATAAAATTTAATAACATTAGGATTAGGCACCATCCAACATCATTGAATAACACAAGATTAGGAAATGTTTAACATCATTGAATAACACAGGATTAGGAAATGTTCAACATCATTCAATAACACAGGATTAGGAAATGTTCAACATCATTCAATAACACAGGATTAGGAAATGCTAAACATCATTGAATAACACAGGATTAGGAAATGCTCAACATCATTGAATAACACAGGATGAGGAAATGCTCAACATCATTGAATAACACAGGATTAGGAAATGCTCAACATCATTGAATAACACAGGATTAGGAAATGCTCAACATCATTGAGCAACTGATAAGGATTATTGAACATCACTGAATAACAGATCTAGGTTCGTCATTGTTTAGCATGCGTTTAGACTTGGATGAGTTATTCTAGGAGACGGTAGCATACTAAAACTATTTCTTTCAACATGCACGCTGCTGGCAAACATCAGAAGAAATGTTTTTAAAATCTAGATCTACTTCTTGTTTCGTCTTAATTAATATTATTTATACCGCAGGTATCAAACAACAAGACCAACGTCATTCACAAACTGGGCAGTGGTCTCCTAATTAGTTTAAGTAGGGGGTATATGGGCCCGAGGCTAGACCACGTTTGACCATACATGTTGAACTCTTGTAGAACATGTTCTGTGGTCTATGGGGCCATTCCAGAAGGAATGTTTCGCTTGGACCAACATTTAGTTTATAATTTCGGCTTAGTTCTAGGCCTTGAACCTGGCTAAAACGTTCCACTGTAGAAAAGATCGACTTGATATGGCTAAGATTTTCTTTTAATAAACATTCAGTATGAGACGGAGTGACATAGAGATAGAGACCTAGACTGCTAACCCGTAAGCCTCGAGTTTGAATCCGGGTTCGAGACAGTAGTCCGTCCCTGAGTCCACCCATCTCTGACTTACTTTACAACATGAGTAGCCCGAATAACTGATTGAATGATGTTGTATATAGATATTATGTTTGCGGTTAAGCACGGAAGTGAAAAGTTAAAAATAAGACATTTATTTAGAAATGCTTCAAAAGTTGAGTTAAGACATCGTGAAGAACCCGAAGTCGTTTCATGGCATCGAGCCCATAATTCACCCCCTCCTCCTCTTTCCTTCTTTATGAATGAACCCTTAGGTCACCAAACACCCCATCCCCCCTCCCTTGTTTGAACCGTCCTTCCCCGCCCCTCCTCCACATCGACCGAGTCGCGTGTCAGAGAAAGGATTCTGGCAGTGTTGGGAGAGGCCGGACTTAATCCTGGCACAAGTCTGTGAGTGAACAAGTTGTCTCCCATGTCATGCTGGCACAAGTTGTCTCCCATGTCATGCTGGCACAAGTTGTCTCCCATGTCATGCTGGCACAAGTCTGTGAGTGAACAAGTTGTCTCCCATGTCATGCTGGTACAAGTCTGTGAGTGAACAAGTTGTCTCCCATGTCATGCTGGCACAAGTCTGTGAGTGAACAAGTTGTCTCCCATGTCATGCTGGCACGAGTTGTCTCCCATGTCATGCTGGCACAAGTTGTCTCCCATGTCATGCTGGCACAAGTTGTCTCCCATGTCATGCTGGCACAAGTTGTCTCCCATGGCATGCTGGCACAAGTTGTCTCCCATGTCATGCTGGCACAAGTTGTCTCCCATGTCATGCTGGCACAAGTCTGTGAGTGAACAAGTTGTCTCCCATGTCATGCTGGCACAAGTTGTCTCCCATGTCATGCTGGCACAAGTTGTCTCCCATGTCATGCTGGCACAAGTTGCCTCCCATGTCATGCTGGCACAAGTCTGTGAGTGAACAAGTTGTCTCCCATGTCATGCTGACACAAGTCTGTGAGTGAACAAGTTGTCTCCCATGTCATGCTGGCACAAGTCTGTGAGTGAACAAGTTGTCTCCCATGTCATGCTGGCACAAGTCTGTGAGTGAACAAGTTGTCTCCCATGTCATGCTGGCACAAGTCTGTGAGTGAACAAGTTGTCTCCCATGTCATGCTGGCACAAGTTGTCTCCCATGTCATGCTGGCACAAGTTGTCTCCCATGTCATGCTGGCACAAGTTGTCTCCCATGTCATGCTGGCACAAGTTGTCTCCCATGTCATGCTGGCACAAGTTGTCTCCCATGTCATGCTGGCACAAGTTGTCTCCCATGTCATGCTGGCACAAGTTGTCTCCCATGTCATGCTGGCACAAGTTGTCTCCCATGTCATGCTGGCACAAGTCTGTGAGTGAACAAGTTGTCTCCCATGTCATGCTGGCACAAGTCTGTGAGTGAACAAGTTGTCTCCCATGTCATGCTGGCACAAGTTGTCTCCCATGTCATGCTGGCACAAGTTGTCTCCCATGTCATGCTGGCACAAGTTGTCTCCCATGTCATGCTGGCACAAGTTGTCTCCCATGGCATGCTGGCACAAGTTGTCTCCCATGTCATGCTGGCACAAGTTGTCTCCCATGTCATGCTGGCACAAGTTGTCTCCCATGTCATGCTGGCACAAGTTGTCTCCCATGTCATGCTGGCACAAGTTGTCTCCCATGTCATGCTGGCACAAGTTGTCTCCCATGTCATGCTGGCACAAGTTGTCTCCCATGTCATGCTGGCACAAGTTGTCTCCCATGTCATGCTGGCACAAGTTGTCTCCCATGGCATGCTGGCACAAGTTGTCTCCCATGTCATGCTGGCACAAGTTGTCTCCCATGTCATGCTGGCACAAGTTGTCTCCCATGTCATGCTGGCACAAGTTGTCTCCCATGTCATGCTGGCACAAGTTGCCTCCCATGTCATGCTGGCACAAGTTGCCTCCCATGTCATGCTGGCACAAGTTGCCTCCCATGTCATGCTGACACAAGTTGCCTCCCATGTCATGCTGACACAAGTCTGTGAGTGAACAAGTTGCCTCCCATGTCATGCTGACACAA